TACTCTTATTAAATTATTATAATTTATTATTATTTTGTTTTTAAGTTGAGAACAACACTTTTACAAATGTTAATAAAAAGACATTCACCATTTGCCCATGTTTTTCAGGCGTTGCTTTAGTTGTTCCTAAATCTTTGAAACGTGGGGGGACTGTAGTCTAAATTTAATAACAAAAGAGCTGTAGCCAACAACAGGATGTGACAGTCAAAAATTGTCACTGTGGGTGGAAATTATGTCAGTTTTCTTCTATGATTGACATAAACAGAATCTAAATGCGACCAAAGCTTTTTAGTTATTGTAAAATTCCTATTATTGCAAAAAAATTTCAATTTCAAATTATTCTGCAACCTGGATAAAAACAGCAATACATCAAGAACAAATTGTGTGTAATTTACACTTTAAGATATCTGTCACCAATTTAAATGTTCCTCACACTTAAAAAGACAAAAGAGAACATAGAAAGGACATCAGTCATCCCTATATACACACACACAAAGGAAACACAACAAATGGAGTACTCTATATGTGAAAAAACTGAAAAGAAAAATGACCTCATATAAATAAAATATGAGGTCAAAAACTGTTCTCAGTTCTGAGAAACAACCAGCTGGCAAAACGAATGAATGAACTGCTAATCTAACATAATCTATGTTAATCTAACATATGGCAGATTAATATTTGACTATTTATAGTGAACACATAAAATATTTTGTAAAATGATTACTGAAATCACAATAGGTTTGGTTTTCTCAAAACTGGCAGTTTTGTTTGTTTGTTTGCTTAGTTGGTTGGTTGGTTTGTCATTTCAGCTTTTATTTTATTTTATTTATTTATTTTGTAGTATGGACTTATTTTTCCCCAGTAGTAGCTAAAAAACAAACAAATGGGTCTTAATATCAGTAGTAAGATTATTTATACTAAATTAAATTGTATTAAATTACCATCAGCAAATAATAACTGCAACTTTTGTTTAGCCTGTGTTGAGATGGCAAAATGCTAGATGAAGTTTTTGCCTAAATTTAGTTCTAACATCACAGTATTACAAAACAACAACAACAACAACAACAACAACAACAACAACAAAAAACACAAATAACAAAGAAAACAATTGAAAAGATCTCAGGATTTACATAAAAAAGGCAACAGTCATTCTCATGACTCGTGAACTCCAACTAGCAAGGCACAAGTCAGCTGCAGTTAGCACAACTTGGCATGGCTGCATTCAAGGTGAGGAAATCCTCACCCTTTGCAAATAGTTTTTGTGCAGTATTTTGAGAAAAAGGTTGAAGAAAATAAATGGGAACAGACTAGACAATACATTTTCATAAGAATTAGAAGAAGCTGACAAGGCTAAAGTTGCCTTCATACTTGCAGCTTCACTTGTGGTTTATTAGCTAAAATATATGCACAGCTGGAACTTGAAGGTAATAATTTTACAATGCTGAATAATTCTTTAGAACACAGTTTATGATTTGTATCTCATACCAAAAACACAGAGCTAAAGATAAAACTTCTGTCTTCCAGTTTACAGCCAATCTAAAGGGCTATTTCAAGAAATCTGCAAGGCATTTAATCATCTCTCATTTAAAATCTAAATGGCTCAAATTTAAACCAGATAATAAAGTTATCTAGTTCATTTATGCCGTTTACTTTTTTATTTTTTTTGCATTAAGGCCACCAGGGGTACATTGTGTTCTGCTTCAAAAATAACTGCATCCCAAAATCAAACCTGGTATGGATTATGCTACATTGATTATAGACTACAAAACATCAGCTTCGATTGGTTTTAACTCCACTTTATTTAAAAAGATGTTCTTATTGAGAACTAGGACTTTCTGCTGAGCCACACTGAGTAGTCAAGCATAAAAGGTCAGACGCATGACCAAATTGAAAGTCTTCCAAATGTGTTTTTGAACCAGATGCTCCACATTCAAAGTTACTCAACTTGAAAAATTTGTGAGTTTTGTAGCATAACTTTAAAGAAGAATTAAGATTACTATTACTGCAACAGGTTTGGAGAAATTTCCAAAACAATACTGTATTTAGCAAACCCATCTTGACATGAACAGATTACATGTAAAGTAATTCATAAATCATAAATGTTTTGGACATACTTAGAGCTAACAAATAACTGGCTTTCATCAATGCCCTTTGCAGTCAGTAGAAATGTATGTCACATTAATGTGAGGCAGGAGGCCTGTGTCTCTATGTTGGAGCAAATATCTTCCTATTGAAACTCTTCACCTGTAAAACTTCACAGGTAGTTTATACCCACGCATTCTGCCTTTTTGTGTATTTTAATGAAAACTTCTGAAACTTTTCTTGCAACAGTTAAAAAAGTATTTTAAAACCTGATTTAGAACTGTCCATGCCTCTCACCCAAAAGTCACTAGAGATAGACCACAAAGAGTAGCAGGATGGATTGATGGATGGATACTATGCAAAATACTTTTAAAAATTAGAAAAAAAGAGACTGTACGGGCAGATTTTACAACATAAGAAAAAAAAGTACTCTTATCGAAAGAAATATGCAACTGAGTATGACAACAACTTATAAAATGTACATAAATGCCTGCATATTTGTGCCTAAAATCAACAACATTCTACTTACAAGAATATGGAATAGATGGGCAAGTAATTGCAGGGCTTTTATGGTTATAAAGTCCACAAATTAAGCTTTGTGAAATGCTTATTATTTGTCAGAATCCAATTTGCAACATACCCCAATAAATGGCAGTCTAAGATACAGCAGATTAAGAAGTTTTAGGCAAAAAAATTGATGTAGACAAGTTATGTCGTCTCAACACAAAATCAAGTATTTCCTACTATGTCATACCTCCAAAATTAGTGACTTAAAAAACAAATAAAAAAAACAATTGGTGTTACCCAATAATTCCTACAAAATAAATATAACTGAGGAAATTGTTTAATTTACAATCTACATTTTTAAGTGGATCTGATGGTTTACAAACTTTGATTTTGAGTTTCTATGAGACAGAAATATGATTACATTGCAGCTAAATGCCTGTTTCCTTTAGCTGCTCTCCAAAAGGAAAAACACAAGAGAACATGTAATTCAAGTAAGACAGACTAGCTGAGCATTGATCCCCATATCATATGTCAGGAAATTGCTACAAGCAAGCAGCTACTCAGCTAAATTTGTAAATACATTAAGAGCAATAATCCAAAAGTTTAAAACACATCTAACTGTGACACGCAAGAACCAAAGTTTATCTTGCCACAACATACAGTGAATATAATGGAGAATTAGATTAAAAATGTCCAAAATGTATTTATTTAGTAGCTGAAACGCATTGCATATCTGGTGTAGAATAGATGAAGAATTTCTGGAAAAACACCTCATGCCCACTGTTCAGTACAGGAGAGAAGCTATGATGCTGCGGGCCTGTTTCTCTTGCAAAAGGCTAGAGATCTTCTTATAGTTTCAAATAAACTGATAAACTCTTTAAAATGGCAGGAAACTTTACATTTCATTCTGCCCTTTGCCAGAAAGCCCTAAAATGCTCCAACATAAGATCTTTCACCATACTTGTGGTCAAATTAACAGAAATGCATCACCAGTCACAACATTAACTTTCCACCATAGTCGTCTCAGTCCCCAGGTCTAAATTTAACAGAAAGCCAGTAACCTGATATGAAATATTATATGAGACTGTTATTGTCTTAAAACAGCTGAATAAAGTGTTACATTAGAATGTCGCTTTAGCTTAAATCTGTTTTACATGGGCTGTAAATAAATGTGTTTGCTGTTATATCAATAATAACTACATATTTAAATTCATTTGGAAAGTCATCCAGAGTCCAAGAAATGTTCTCAAGTTTGATCTTTTCTTTTTGTTGTGGCACAGACAGGTCAATCAATAGCATCTTTAAGAAAATATTTCAAAACGATCTGCCAAGGAAGATTGTGAGATAAGTGTAAGCTCAAATCCAACACCCATAATGCTTTGCCAGACACTCTGAGAACACGGTGAACATTTATCTTCACACTGTAGCCTGCCTGCTAAGTGCTGGCAGCACTCACTTAACAATGGTTCTCTTTTGTCTTGGAAAGCATTCCTCTTTCATCACCTCTATACTTAACAACTCAGACGTAACGCATCTCAATATGTTTGTGTGCATTGTAACATATTCCTGTGGGGATCAATGTGTGGCACTCACAGGTGACTTTATGGCTGGCTATTTTTAGTGCCATATCTCAATTATAATCCAACTGGGACTGAGTGTGTTTTTGATGAAAGACACAGATTCTCGGTGCTGACTTCATGAACACCTCATTGCACTTAATAGTGTTTGTTTTAATCTCTTGAGACATCACCCAGAAACATTCTCACAGGTCCTTAATGCTGTGCGGTCCGCGGTGCTCCATGGTGAGTTTTCCACTCACCTTATCGCACTTTATGGCATGCTTTTTAACGTCCTTGTCATCACCGGCTGCTTTAAGTGGTCTCAAACAAAAAACATCGAGGTATTATGGGTATTACGTAACGCAATTTACGGAATACCCCACGGGCCAATTAAGGGATAACGATATTTTGTAACAAAGTCAGTAATCTGCCAGCCTTGCATAACGCCGGGGTCTGGATGCGCCGTGATACAGCAGATGCGCAGGCTGGCGTGCTGGTAATGGATTGTAAACACGGGCAGCCTATAGGCCTCGGCTGCCTTGCTTCAGATATTATTCTGATGGAGGAGAGCCACCTTCTCTCCCCGCCACCTGCAGAATGCGCAAGTCTCTAACAGCCCACTGCAGCCCCGTGGCCTCTTGATTTACTGCACCACACAAAAACAGATAGCAAAGAGGGCTTTGGCAGCAATCTTTGCATATTAATACAGTGACAGCACAATGCCATGTTGCCCCGCTGGAGGAAAAAAAAAAAAAAAGAAGAAACAAGCACATATAAATATGCAGAGTGGCCTAGAAAGAGCACGGTGTATTGATGGAGATGGAGGTACACTGGGGGGAAAACGGTGCTTACCTCCAGCGTTCGGATCTCTTTTTGTGTCAAGTCGTTGGATGTGGCACATTTGGTCCGTAAACCCTCCAAACTGGAAATGCTTATGTCTATCATGTTTTGCACCAACTCGCACTGCTGCAAGGCTTTCTGCAAACTCAGATGCTGCTCCTCGCTTTTTGTCATCTCCTCGTTCATAGTTTAGCGACCGATGGATGTTATATTTTTTTCCCTTTTTGCACTTAGAAAATAAACAAAGAAGTAAAATAGGAAGAGGGGAAAAAATAAGAATAATTCAAAAAAGAAATGTGGAGGAGCCCATGGAGCAGAGCAACCTGCAGAACGCCATGAAACGAGATGTTGCAGGTTTTTTATTTGAGCCGCGAGAGAGTCGACTCCATTGTAACAGTCCTCGTAGTTTCCTGCTGGATCATCAAGGTGTCTCTGGATGGATGCTTAGATCAAGCACGATGTACAGACACCGAGCGGGACTACACGGCTGGACGCAGCATCCATCGGGTGCCCCCTTCCTTTCAAATGGTTGTTAGAGAGAAGAAGAAAAAAAAAAAAAGAAAAAAGAAGAAGAAAGCTGATGCTGCTCAGCGCATCATAAGCAGACGGATCGGGAGGAAAAGCCTTGTTGTTGGTTTAAAGGTTCTGGTGTGTGGACTGAATGCAGGTCTCCCTTGGCAGCAGCTGCATCCCGGTTCGTTCCCACCACACCGACATGTTTCCTGTCAATCAAACCCACAGCAACAGCATCGCAGCGCCCAGGCACAGCCGTGAGGGGCCGCTCTCGCGAGAGAAAGTGCAGCAGAAGACCTCAGTCTGCAGGACTGGACGTAAAACTGGGCTATTTTCTAAACTTTTGATCAAAAATACGTTTAGAATGCCCGAAAAAATACTTTATAAAGAGGTTTGTTTTTGCTTTTATTTATTTATTTATTTATTTATTTATTTATTTATTTATTTATTTATTTATTTATTTTACAAATTATTTGTAGAATAATTTGTTTCTGCTAAATAAGTATTAATAAATAAAACAACTGGGAAGTAATTTACTTCAGTATTTAAAATATAATAAGCAAATATAATAACATAGTGGAATAGAATAGCAATAATGATAGATAAATAAATAATCACTTCATTGATATACCATTGCATCCTGAGAGCAGAGAGAAGCAATTACCGCACATCCGTTGTGAGGCTACAACCATCACTTCTACCAACAAGCTCATGAGTCATTAAAACTCAGCTTTCTTTCTTTAAACTTCTATAATCACCTGAACATTTATTTTAATTTTTACGTTCTACTTTAATAACTGTTCAACATTGTTTTTCATATGTTGTAAATTTGCCCTTTCTGTATTTATTTATTACTTTTGCGTGAATATCAATTCTCCCTTACATTTTATTACAGCGTGCAACGTGCAACTGTTGTCCCGCCCATTTGAGACCAAAATGCGTCACCCGATTGGTTGTACGGCATGACGTTTAGACGCCAGTTTCTTTGCTGAGCGCGGCAAACATAGCCATCGTCAAAGTAAAACGTATCCAAAAAACTCCGAAAGAGGACACATTTGATCTAGTTTTCTTCTTAACTGTTACCAAAATACATGGCGTCCACAAGCAAAGGGCAGTTACAGACCAGAAACCTACCATGGTGAGCTTAAAGTCTATGTTTATTGTCAGATACGGCTACGTTTATTAGCGTTAGCTAGCTGACATCAACAGTGTGTTTTTACGGTAACTCCTTACTTCATCAGATTATGTTATGTCTTCACTGTTCAAAGATTGTTGTTCTTTTAGATATTAAGATAAAAGCCGGATGTTAAAAGAAATATTCTGCTAGAAAACGGGTATAAATATTTATACGTACATATATGGAAGCACATGAAGCATTACCTGGGTTTTAGGTACAGGTTGACACATTGTACAGAAGTTTTGCTTCGAACTTGAGGAAAAGGAACAGACGTCACTCAGCCTGCAGAAATATGGAATTGAATTTATGTACCTTCAATGTCTAATTACGTCTGGTAATTGTTTACCATATATTCAAAGTGAACTTCGGATGTATACTATAAAAATGAGCAAAATAGCTCCGAGGGATGTGGAAAACTGAATCTGCAAAAGTTTAAAATTTTGAAATAGAAAAATGCGTTGGATCTCTGCATCTGAGAAATGCATGGTGATTATTTACTACCTGACAGCCTTTTGGAATATATCTAGTTATTATTTTAATATATATCAAAAGGTGTGATTTTATAATTCTCTCTCTCTCTCTCTCTATATATATATATATATATATATATATATATATATAAAGAAAGGGATAATACATTTTCAATCACAGCCCCACAAACACTGTTCTTGACAAATATTCACATTTGTGTAATACACTTTGTTAGGACACCAATCACATAAAGAAGTCTGATTTGTATCTCTTGTCAAATTTATCATGATAAACGATAAATTATACAATAAAAGCCCACACCTACTTTCTAGATGGGCAACTTAAAAAACTAAAATCTAAACTTATAAAAGGTCTGTTAGTTAAATGAGATGTTTTTTCAGGGAGATAGCTATTTTCACAGTTCTGTGTTTGGCATAAATAGACAATTTGCATCAGCTTACTTTTACAGCTTTCTAGTTTATTGTTGCAATCGATACCTCACAAGTTTTCCAAACATTTCCATATTAAAGTTGTCATAGAAGCTTATAATTAATAAATACTAATGGCAGTCTTGTATCCGTTTTCCATTCCAGGGTTGAAAAATACAGACCTCAGACACTGGATGATTTAGTTTCACACAAAGACATTCTGAGCACCAGTGAGTATTAGCGCTCCACGACAGTCAAAACCAATGAATAACTGTCTGTATTAAACTGATAACCTTGTTTGTGTTGTTTGCTCCTTCCTTGTCTTTAGTCCAGAAGTTCATCAGCGAGGACAAGCTTCCCCACCTGTTGTTCTACGGCCCTCCTGGAACAGGAAAGACCTCCACCATCCTCGCCTGTGCAAGGCAGCTGTACAAGGACAAAGAGTTTAACTCCATGGTGTTGGAGGTGCCGTTAAAATCCTTATTACTAGATTTTATTTTATTGCAGTTTGAAGGTTTCTTTTATTGCAGCGAGACCTTGTTTCTCTTTAGGTTTATGTTCTAATTGAACTCATTATATTTTGCAGCTAAATGCATCAGACGACAGAGGGATTGACGTAGTCCGAGGTCCTATTCTGAGTTTCGCCAGCACCAGGACTATTTTCAAGTAAGCAATACGCCCTACTTCAAAAAGCAAAAGCTCTGATTTGGTTCATTTCCTGAATGTCTGCATGTGGAAGCTGCTTCCCGTTTATGCATCCCTCTTATCTTCCAGAAAGGGCTTCAAGTTGGTGATACTGGATGAGGCCGATGCCATGACCCAGGATGCCCAGAATGCATTGCGACGAGGTGAGCCATCTGTTCTCCCAGGCATCGCCTACTGTGAACTTACACGGCTCACTGAACACACACATAATTTGGCTGCTTGTGAATAAATGTATCTGCTCTGCTAACCTGGTGTCGCTTCTCAAAAGTGGCACATTGAACAGATTTTAAGCATTAATTTGGGTTAAAGTTGAAAACGTTTTATTTTGGAAACATTTGTTTACTCCAAAACTTTGCAGTTGTATTATATTTTGATGACAGATGTAAAGAAATGTAAAGAAATTTTGCGCAACTTGTGTCTGATTTTGACAGATCTGCTTGTCAAAATGTGTCATGTTGAGAAAGCTTTAGTTACTTTTTAATCAAGTGCAGTTTCTGAAAAAAGGCTGACATTATATGACTTTGAAAATGTTGGGATGTTAAAGGTAACATTTTTCTCTCATGTTCTTCTCTCGTGTTCTTCTTTTATTGGTTATGTTGATATTCGCTTCCCCTTTTCTTATTGCTCTCTCTGTCTGTCTCAGTCATTGAGAAGTTCACAGAAAACACTCGATTCTGCCTGATCTGCAACTACCTGTCCAAGATCATCCCAGCCCTGCAGTCTCGCTGCACCAGGTTCCGCTTCGGCCCGCTGTCTCCGGACCAGATGAAGCCTCGACTGGAGCACGTTATTGAGAAGGAAAAGTAAGGAAACTTCTTGATTTCGCTGTTTCATTAATAGCGTCGACATTTATGAGAACCTAACTGCTCAAAAGATGTAAGAATACTGACCAAGAACAGCTGTTAATGAAGCTCCTTCTACTTTATAATTATTTATCATTGATTAATTACATTTTATGATAGGTTCAACTGCAGTTATCAGAAATAATAATAGCGTTTCTCCAGTCCAATGAATGTGCAAATGAATAGGATGATTTTATATTTTTTTTATGTACATATTGTGCATGTGTATTGAACACTAAAAAGACAACAGACTACTTATAATACGGCACATCAGTGCAGAGCAGAAACACAGACATGCAGCAATCACATTGCAAGGCGACAATTCAGTTGCCCAATTAACCACCACTTGTTCCAACCTAATTTTCATGTTTTGTTCATCAGCATTGACATCACTCCAGATGGAATGAATGCCATAGTCACTCTGTCGAAAGGCGATATGAGAAGATCACTCAACATCCTGCAGGTACGACTTGAAGCCGATAACTGCTGCTGTCAGGCGGCTTTAAACTGGACTGTGGATTGTATCGGGTGGAGAGCAACCTGAGCTGACTGCGCTCTGCCTCTCTGTGGTTTCAGAGCACCAGCATGGCGTACGAGAAGGTCACAGAGCACACGGTCTACACCTGCACCGGCCATCCTCTCCGCTCTGACATAGCCAATATCCTCGACTGGTGCCTCAACAAAGACTTCACTTCAGCTTATAAACGTATCCTTTCCTATTATTATGCAGATAATTCAGTAGCTTCAAGTAAAGGATTACTTTGCAAAAAGTTAGATACATAGGCCAGTTAGAATCTATAATTTTAGATTTATTCACTACTATTAGGTTTTGGAAGATTTCTGCTTTAACAGTTCTTTAACACTTTTTAAAGAGGTTCTTGAGCTGAAGACTTTGAAGGGTTTGGCTCTGCATGATATTCTATCTGAGGTGCATCTGCTCGTCCACAGAGGTAAGTTGTCTGGATCCGTATGTTTCCTATTGCTCCCTAAGCAAAAATAAATCCTACGATCTAATCGGGATCTATTTATCAATTTGTTCAATGTCCTTTGGTTTGGTTTAAACGGTTTAAAATACCACTTTAGAGTACAAGAAAACTGTTTTCTTCACATGTATTCTCAGACATTTTAGATACAACTTGGGTATTCCAAAAACACGATAAAAAAAAAAAAAACATGGTTCAGAATGGATAAGGCTGCAAAATGAGACTTGAGATTTAAAGAAAATATACTTTTTTTTTTGTATAAATCACAGTAGAATCACAGTTTCTGAAATACCAACTGACACCAGCAACCAAGACATTAAAGTCAGTTAAAAACAGCTTGTTTCCCTGTTCTGACGCTCAGGCTACAGCTTCTAGACATGTAGTCTTGTCTGGATGCTTACAGTTTAGCCAAAAATTTGGCTTAAAGTAGTTTTTTGTACTGTTTGCACACTGTGCATCAAAAAAATCTTCTACATTTTTTGGGGGAAAATGCTCGTTTTATCAAAGGTCTCAGCCCAGTCTGCCTGATCTGCCACTGGAGTGCAGGTATGTTTTGCCAGCAGAGGTCGCTGTAGCTAAAGCTTTGAGAAATGAACCCATTTTTGAAACAATTAGTTGAAGTGGTCTGGTGGCTCCCTTGAAGCTTGAAGCTTGATTTGCCCATTAATAACGTCAATCCTACAAAGTATGATTGCCTGCTAGCTCTAGAAACCAACTACTTTTATCAAACCCACCCATAGATCCATACATTGTGTCCAGAACTATGTTTATAGCTACAAAACGTTTCTTTGTATGGGAGACTTTACCAAATATTAGTAGGGCTGTATGGATGTATTTATCCAGTTTGGATTAGATTCACCAGATTCTTGTTATTAAAAGCCATTACAGCTGAATTTTGTATAATCTGTCCACTCTGGAAGTCGAGTGTCTGTAATGCATCATTAAAAGCCAGAAATGAATAACATTCACAGACATGTTAAACTATGTAATGTGGCTGAAGGGCGTCATAAGTTGACATTATTTTATCATTGTGAGGCTTCTGAACGAGGGCTGAACAATTAATCTGATTGATTATTGAAATAATTGTCAAATAATTTAGTAATCAATTGTTAAGTTGAGTATATGGACTCAGTTAAAGGCTGTTTACTAAAACATAATCAGAGCAGTAATTAAACCAAACTGTACAAAAGATGTTCATTTTGCCCTTAAGATATAAAAAATCCTTAATGTGTAAATATGTTCCACAAACAGGAGTTTCAGCTTTAACCTCGTTGAAATGATGCAGATGCATCTGTAGCTACAAATGATCAACTGTTTGCCAGAGAAATGCAATGTTATTTTATTTTAGGCAACAATATGTTTATTTATTTTTTTTTAAACGAGTTTAGTTATTTGTGTCTTGTAATGTTTTTCTGATATTGCATAAAAATGGCTTACATTTTTTTTAACGATTAAATCAATAATTGTTTGTTGCAGCCCTAATTTAAACCATTAATTCTGTTTTTCATGACGTCCTTTGGCATGCTTACTCAAAGAAAAGTTTTCTAAGGTGGTTTTTATTTTATTTATTCAAGTGGACTTTCCTCCGGCCATACGGATGGGCCTGCTTATCAAGTTAGCCGACATAGAGTGAGTATGATTACATCATCTAATAACAGTTGCATAAATATGTATTGATAAATACTACTTTTGCACCCTGTAATTTGACGTCTTTTTCAGATACCGGCTGGCGGCAGGAACCAATGAAAAGATCCAGCTGAGCTCCATGGTTGCAGCCTTCCAGGCCGTCAGAAACCTGGTGGTCAGTGAAGCCTCTTAAGAGTTAATCTAGAGGAAAACTGAGCCAATCACAGCTAGAATAAATAAAACTGGCAAGTCGACAACATAGCTGCTTCCCAAGCAGATATTTTGTATCCAACTTTAAACCACAAACCTGCAACTTATTGACTTTTCTTGTTCAGAGTAACAAACTGAGAAGAGAGTCTGTAATGTGCACCATGATGAAATGCTGGTCAATATTATCAAATAATCCACCCATCACTGTTTCAGAAAACAGTTCTTGGATAAATGTAAATGTCTTTTTCTTTCATCTGTTTAATAAAACTTTATTCTTTAGTCCAGTTTGGGGTTACTTCATATTAACAATTAACATGTGCAAATTAAGCAGAAACACACCTGCTCTTTGATACCACAGGAATTAGAAACATATTTACAGTTCCTATTTACACAATAAATTAGCAATATAAAATCGTAATACTCAAATCATATGTGAACATTTAGTTTATGCGTCTTATTAAAGTGGTAGTGCAATAAATGAAGTCCCTTAGTGCATCTAAAGTAGATTACATCATTAGATTCTTTTCATTAATCTCAAACTTCTCTCCTATGGGTAAACAAAAAGGCAAGTTTGTTAGTGTATAAAGTTACTAAGTTGTCAGATTTATTAGTCCTGTTTAGCTCTCCCAGTCCTCCTCGTCAGACGAGCAGCAGGTCTTGAGGCGTTCAGGGATGTTTCTGTAGGTGAGGTACTCCAGGATGCGTTTGGGGAGCGGCAGCGCCTCGATCTGGAACGTTGACACAGAGTGGCGTATTATGGAGCGGCAGAGGTGGCACAAACTGGGAACCGTCCGGGGCGTCCTCCAGAACCTCACATGGCCGTTTCTGGTCCTGACAGAGGAGAAGGAGATTCTTCAAAATTGCAGTTAAAGTGCAGTGAGAAAATATTTACCTCTACAAATTAGTCTGTTTTTTTTCTTAAGTTCAGCTAGAACTTAAAAAAAAGGTTTATCATGCAGCTAAGCTACATAGATGCCATTTCTACTCTGCAATCAGCACGAACATCTGTTTAGTTTTATTTTGGGTTTTACCCTGTAGCAATAACGCCCCCTTGTGGATGGTAGTTGCAGCAGAGTCCGCTGGAGTCTTGGTCTCTCTTTGTCTGCATTGTCATGTGTTTCTCTCCAGGTTCCCAGATTCTCAGAGCTCTGTGAAAACACAACGCATCGGTCTGAAATCTTTTGTCCGGTGCATTATACCATCCATCATCATGCGTTCAAATTAAACTGACAAAGACTTGCCTGTCATCAGTCACGATTGCCAAATGCAAACCATCTGGGGAGAACTGGATTGCCGATATTTGGTTTTGCCCATAATCTTCAAAGTAATCTCTGCACACACAAAAACAGAAGTCAGACCCTAAACACACCAAAATACAACAAGACCCCAGGAAAAAGGTAGAAACTTACGCAAGAGTGGCCAGTTTCTCGGCCGTGTAGGGATCCCAAAGGTCGATCCACCAGCTGGAGCCGCTGAAGGCGGCGGTGGCGAGAACCGCTCCGTCTGGAGAGAAGCTGCAGGAGGACAGGAGGCATAGCTTCTTATTGGTCCCTCCTCTTAGGTTCCTGATAAACGTGTATGAGCGCAGACTCCACAGGCACACCATCTGGTCAAAGCAAGATCAGGAAGAGTTAAGACATCTCTCAGTCTTACTGTTTTCCTAGCAGTGGGGATCGTTGTATAAATTGCAATGTAGCCAAATCATGTAACTTGATACTCAGTCACAGTCTGGGTTCATCAGTGGGTGTGCTGAATCTGGAGAGAGTTAAAAATCTGGGATTACTTAAGCAACAGCTGAGAATGTGTCATGTTTGCTCTACCCTGCTGCGCCTTGTGAACAGAACAAAGACGCCGAAGTTCACAACTCCCCGTCAGTCCTCCAACAACACAGGAGCAGATAATCAGAACACTGCCGGCTCAAGAGCAACAGGAAAATGTTCACAAGCAGTCTCTGTGTCCACGCATGTGGACGAAACCAAAGAAATCCAACGAGATATAAAGAAGAGAGTTATGGACTTCCACAATTCTGTCATCTGACACAATTTCCAAATGCCAGAGAGTTCAGGGGACTTCTGGTTTATTCATATAGTGAAGTGTAAATGTAATGAGACTTCACATTTTCAACAAAGGGATGACGAGTTTAACTTTTGGAGACATATTCTGTTGTCTGAAAGGGAAGTTTTAAACCACAGTGACCATTTTTATAATTGAAGAGAATCCCATCCAGTCTGCACAGTACAGGGCCAGCAGCATCGTGTTGGAGTATTTTGCTGCAGGAGGGACTGGTGCACTTCAGGAAATGCGTCGCAACATATGGGAAGCAGAAATGGACATTGCTTCAATATTTCCACACAAGCAATAGCCAGGTGGTCAAATTGTTGTAATGCGAAATGACCTGAAACTGAAAAGGTTTAGTCTGATTTAATATCAAAGAGTGAGAACGACGGGTCATGTATTTATATATACAGCGTCTCTAAACATCTGGTTTCAAATGCCTGTGTGTTTCCTCAAAGTAACGCATCCTGTGTTCCAGACAGTTCTGGAACTGCATGCCTTAAAGGCATGCAGAAATACATAAATAGTCTCCTTTGAGAGTTTCCATATGCAAATGTTGGTATTGATCTGAACACGTCGCGACAAATGTGAGGTAAGAAACAACTCACTCTGTCAAACCTGCCAACGGAAGCGATCATGCTGCAGTCAGATGAGACGCTGCAGCAGCTGATCCAGTCTTTGTGGCCAGAAAGCACCTGCACCTTTTTACCTGAAACGGGAAGAGGAAGAAAGTAAGTGAGCTCCTGGAGAGCGAACAGTCAGAGTCGTAGATGTGGAACTGTACACTGAAGAGAAAGGGAACACGAGTCCCTTAAGGGAACATGATGAGGCTCTAAATTAGAACAGGTTTGGTTCAGTTTGTACAGATAAAACAAAAGAGAAATGATGACAGAAGGCAGCAGTCAGTGCCAAAGTATTTGGAGCTTTATGTCGGTAAAAGCAAGAAAAAGCTGCAGCTTCCTTTTCCAAACTACCAAAAAAAAAAAAAAACAGACTTAGTATTCTGTTTAAAAAAATCAAATTGTGTACCTTTGTGAGCCAGGTTCCAAATCCTCAAAGTTTTGTCCCGGGAGGATGAGATGAGCTTGAGCGATCCGTTCTGTGGAAAAACCAGATTCCTGACGACGCCCTCGTGGCCGTGGAGATCAAAGACAGCATTCCCTAGAAATGAAGAGAACGAAATTAAAAAGTGACCTAGATTTATTTTTAAGCTCAATGCAGCACAGGAAACAGAAACGTCACCAACCTGTCAGCACGTTCCACACCTTGATCACCCCGTTCTCCAAGCCGGTGGCCAGGAGCAGAGTGCTCTTCCCTTTCGGTCCTTTGGACGGTTTGGTCGGATGAGCCGCCGCTGCCGCCGACCTGGGAGGTCTGGGTCCGAAGGCGAGCCCCCACACCGGGTGACCACAGCTGAAGCTCTTATCCGCTCTGTCCGTCTCTCCATCCTGCCCCTCTCTGTGGGCGAGAGTGCAATCAAGTACACGAATACCAAATGTAGGCGGTGTGCCGCTCGAGCCGGTGATGAAGCGAGGCTGTTTTAGTTGCTTCTGTTAGCTGTGTACTGGGAAAGTGTGATATTCTGCTTCTGTTGTTTTTCAGCTAATAACGCCCACTTTGTTGCTTTTATACCAGCACTGTTTCAGTCATTCGGTTTGTTTTCGAACCAACTCTTCAAGATGCAATACTCAAATATTGATCATATTAGGTCTGATGTACAATATTTTTAACCAACTCAATCAGGAATGAGCACATACTGGGGAAAAATACAACAAAATCTGCCAAAATTGGGGTGAAAAATGGTCACATTTAGGTGCAAAAAGTTTTTTGTTTTGTTTTGTTTTTTTAAGGAAACTACACTAAGGCATGTGAAACAGATCTGAAGAGTTTTATATGATTGAAATTTTTATCTGAACATTGGTTGAAGAGAAATATTTATCACTACCCATGACTAGAAATAGGAATTGATTGAGGTGTGGGTCAATCAATAGTCTGAAAACAGGATTTACTGGAGACTGATTGGAAAATAAAATGAAATACTTAAAATATAAAATTAAACACTAATACATTTAGTATATTTTTCAATCAGGTCATTGGCATCCAAACTTTTTGCACTGTGGGGGAAATTCACCAAGTTGAAAGCACTCAATGGCCATATTTTTCCAATTAAAAATGCTAAGTAATTTTATTGCAGATCTTTAATTTGTGTGATTGAAACATGTGTTAATGTTCATGAAACAAAGTAGAAAGGAATTTATTGTAGGTTCTGAAAATGGTCCCAGATGTTTTTCTTAATAAAAGAAGGGTGTGCAGGCTTTATTTTTATTTTTTTTGGACGATTGTTTTCTATTTTGTTCGTTTAATCTTAGCAACAAAAATGAGAACTCTCCTGAAATCTTTGCCGTATTTCACCAAGTTTAACGAGTCCAGCCCAAGTCTGCTGAGCTCAACTTCAATATTAAAATCAGAGTAAAGAACATGGCTAATGAAAATAAAAATACTGTTTGTTGTTCTTAATAAACAACAATTTAACTTCAAAAAGTTCACCAGCAACAACTCCATTTGCTGGAGGCTCACTTTTATACCGTTATTAATCTGCAGTTGGGGACCATATAAAGCTATTCCAAGGCTACAAATGGCCCCCACGCCAAGCATAATCAAATTCATACAATAGTAAAGTATTTTTCAGGCTACTGTAATATAACATTATATAGTCTGTAAGCAGATATTTTTTTTAAATGCCACTCAGGACATATTTTAAATATTCGGCTGATTTTATGATTAAATTGCGCCTTTTGGTTGCAGCGTAACCAATGAGCATTTCTGCATCATTTGCAAGCACAAATGACGTTCAGTTCAAACATTTAAAACCTGGGAGTCACCAGCGCGTTAAACGATACGGCTGCAGCTGACATCAGCCAAAGGTGTCAGAATGTCCTACGGGAACGTGAATGCGTCCTGCGGGGATTACAGACGTGCAGGTGAACCTACTCGGAGTCCAGCGGCCAGGCGACCACCCACACGATGCCGTGTCCCATCGACCAGGCGAACCAGGTTCCGTCCGGGGAGAAGTCGACGCTCCACGTCTCGCATCCCGCCTGGTCCAGCAGCGACGGAGGCCGCCTGGTCTTCAGCTCCAGGAGGAGAGCTGGGTCCGACGCTGGAAGAAGATGGAAAATCGGAACATAATCGCTATTTGACAGACTCATATCTCGCAGCGGGGGGGCAGCAGGTCGTTTGGACCAATTCCTCCACCCCTTCCTTTCCTTTCCTTTCCTTTTTTTCCGCTCTTTCCTCCTGCTGGAGTATTCGTCTCCAGGGAGCGCTGCCTGGTAACGGAGCTTCGCTCAGAGATCATTCACAAATAAGCACTTACATGTCGGCTGCGGCTCCGTGTTGCTTTCCGTAGAGCACATCGTTTCCCTTCTTCACATTCTTCAGACTTGCGGGTCTGTCCGTTTGGCTTGAGCGCTCCTTTCCATCAAAACCAAACCAGAGAGTTTAACAACTCACGAAGAGATGAAGCTCCTTCCTCTCTGAAGTCAGACGTTCACTATGTGAAAAATGTACCAGTCAGAAAAGAAATGTTCAGCTGATTTCCTGACGCCTGAGTCACTTAGTGCTGCTGGCTGTGAACGTCGCCCGACGTGGTCACGTTTTCTATTGTTACGTAACCCAATGCAAGCCTTGACCACACCTCCCAGGAGGATAGAAAAACAAACGTTTTCGGTTTTTTTTCCCCCACCCGTTATTGTTTAATGTGGATAAGTGGTTGCAGTTGACACGTTTTATTGCATGTGAACTTCATGCACTTCACACAATGCGAGTTAAAAAAAAAAGAAAAGAAAAAAAAAAGAAGCTTAAATACACCAGGAAAAAAACAAGGCGAAAACAACCATATAAAGACTAAACCAGGAGTCAGACTAAACATTTTCCCTTAATATCAGTTACAAATCCAGAATAATGAAATATCCTTTTAGTTCTTTATATCCAGAACTTTAGAGAGGTGTCGTTAAATGGCACATGTGAAACTCAAGGCCCAGAGGCCAAATCCGGCCCGCCACATGCGGTCCTCTAGACAAGTGCCACATAAATAGAACAAGGGTAAACAGCAGAGAGCTCCAATATTATTTTATCAACCAAATCAACGCAGTCTTTATCTATATTCTGTCAAATTACATCAATATGAAAAGGTGCTCATAATAATATTGATATTAATCATTAATAAGTTCTCATTGAATGTAGAGTCAGCTATTTCTTTATATCTTTGCAATTTGTTAATGGGTTTTATAAATATTTATCATCTTAAATTAGTTTGGCACTTGCTTTAATCTATATTGCTTTTCTAAAATGCTTCATCTGTTAAGCCGGACCAACGACGTTGTGAACAGTGATGTTGATGTGTGCCCATATTCTGCCTGATCTCTTGATATGTTACATTAGTCTTTTCACAGATGTTTTCTTTCCTTGTACTGAGTGAAGGTGAAGGAATCCAGATCTGACTCCCTGATACGATGATTTAATAACAGTATTCAGACACAAACATGACTAAGATTAATCTGAGTCATATTATTTTTGTTAAACGCTCTTGATGAGTTTAACTGGATAATTTAACAGACTCAAGAAAAGAAAAGATTTAACTCTCTTGGTGGTTGTGCTTAAGGTCTGATTTTGAATTCAAAAACAATGTGTTGACTCCATGATGGCAGACAAAGTTAAAAAGAAAGCTCAGCAGCCTTTGATTTAATTCTAGGTTTAACTGAGATACCTGATCTGAGCAACTCAGACATTTATGTAAGCGTTAAGAGCTTGACGGAGAAGTTGGAGGAATTCAAATGGATTCTATGTAGAGCTAAGAGCCAACAAAATGACTTTAGTACCGTCGGTGTGGAAGGATCGCTGACCGTTTGGATCAACTTCAAGTATCTCAGTATGGTGTCATTTGAAAATGATACCATATGGCAAACAGTAAATCAATCAATCAATCAATCAAATTTTATTTGTATAGCACATTTCAGCAGCAGGGCATTTCAAGGTGCTTTACATAATTAAAGAAAAATAAAATAAAAAATAAGAACAGCATGTGACATTGAATAAACAGTAAGAAAGAGAAAGAGATAAAAAGATAAAAACATAATTTTGTTACAGAATTTAAGCGCCTGTCGTCGCCGGACTCCGCCGTCTGTTTCACACGGATATTATCCAGGCCCCGTCGCCTGACAGGACGGAATTTACAGATTTTTTGTCAAAACGCCATTTGACAAGGATTCTCACACCTCAGAGTTTTAGTTAAAATGCCATTTAAAATAAATTAATAAATAGATAAAAAGTAAAGATAAAAACATTAAAAACATTAAAAACATCAAAAACATCGAAGAGATCAAAAGACATAAATGCATAAATTATGTGAAGGATTAAATAGATAATTGTCCAAAGCAAAGAGGCTTTGATATTAGTTGTATTACAGATTCATTCCACTATTGCAGGTCAGAGCTGTTGTGCAAAAGCATCAGTTTCCTTCTCTTCTTTGTCCTTTGGCTTGATAAACGAGGTTTTACAGAGCGAGACTGCACTCGCTGCATGTGTTGTTACATTTTAAAGTACAATTTAAGCAGTTAGCAGAGTTAGCTAACTGCACAGACGTATGAAAATATGTAAAAAAAAAAAAAAAGATGGTTCTAAAGGCTCCGAAGGATGTTTCATTTAAGTAATTTGTAATAAAATCGGGACTGTGATTGTTTATACAGTACATAAATAAAATAAAAAAATATCCTTTTGGCAATGTGACCTATCGCTTATGTCTAGTGGAGTCTAATCTTGAAGCGTTGTATGATAAAGGCCAACAGAAATTCTGACACAAACCAGCTGCAATCAATTCAATCAATGCCTAACAAATGCATATGTCAATGTTTTATTAATAAAGTGACTTTAATAGTCAGATTTTTATTTATTGCATAAATTTAGTTAAAAAGGATTTAGAACATTCTAGTCAAATTTTTAAGAAGAAAAGGGAAATAAAGTCCCAGTTTCAGCACTTTATGACCACTATCCATGTCTTAGGTGGCAGGTTTTAACATCAGTTATTTTCTTGTAGTCATGTAAGCATATTCAGCAAAAAAAAAAAAAAAACATTGGTTGGCATCCAACTCCTAACATGCATACATACCATGAATTATTCATATCTAAGCCGCTCTAGTTCTTATGCTGGAACTGCTTTTGACAGTGTAGTACATTATTTAACTGCTTTTAACTTGCTTTGACCTACTAAAAAGATCCCACATTAAAAATTTAATGTGCAAACTGAGGGACTTGGTAAACGTACATAATGTGAATTAGATATAATGAGCTAAGGCAATAAATTAGAAATTATTCACGGATGTGTATTCAATGTTTATTTAATTTAAAGCATAAGAACCAATTTTAGTGCTTCAGAGAATGTTTGATTTATTTTGTCTGAATTTTTTTTTTATATATATGGTTAAATTTTATTGTCAAATTTTGTCCGTTTACTTTAAAATCTATTTAAGTTTTTTATATAACCTGATTCAAATTTTCCACCAAGCAAAACAGGATGCCTGACCCAGAGTCTCCCAACATCAAAATGCTTTGATTCTGATCATGTTTTGGAAGTGAGTGAGTCTGAACTGATGGTGACATATTTTAAGTTTCGGTATTTTAAGATCTGCGCTATGAACTGGGATAGGCAGTGTTTGTACAGTGTGTGATGAATGTGAAAAACAAACAAAAAAAGGTGGTTTCCTCACACATATTTCATGCTTTAATGTCACTCATTCAAAATTCTGTACAAACAAAAAAAAAAAAGTTTAAAATAAACATACAAAAATGTACAACACCGCTAAAAAAAAACCCATTTTGGAGTCTAATTCAGATGTCATTAGAAATGACGCATTAATTTTCAAGCATCTTGTCCCTAAAATGATACAAGTTCCTCCACCTCTTCTCTGGATTCTTCTGTTTTCTCTTCAATCGGCTCGTCTTTCTGTTCAGGCGGCTCTGGATGCGTTTCAACGATGACCTCGTGATCGTCACCTGGACAGAGAGGGAGGTGTTATATTCCTAAACACCTGAGTGCTTAAAGCAGGTTCCTATGTCGTCTTCAAGGAAGCATGTTTGAGTTTACAGACCATCTTTAACCTCATTTCACCATTCAAAAGAGAAAAATCTGAATTTCTGAGAACTAAATAAGTTGATTTGGAAGTAGAGGAAACTTCATTTCTTTTATTTGCCAAATAAAGACTTGTGTTTTAAGCCAATGGAGTGACTATTTTCCCTTTTTTTTATTATTAATAAACAGCAATCTAATTCAGAAATTCAGATATTTAGCATTTGAAACACATTTATATAAGAGCTGTAAGATGGACCTGTGGTTTTGTCAAAGTGATTTATTCCCTATCAAGCCACAAGCAAAGTGTAACAATCTTTGAATATATGCTAGTTAGCTTATCTATTTCCAAAAGGTAACATTCACAGAAAAAAGTACATTTTTTTGACGTTTACTTTAACTACAGCTGTACTACTAAAACCATATTGCCATTTGTTTCAATTGCATTTAATAAAGTGACACGAAACCACTGGCATTTATATATTGTTTTACTTTTTAAAATCAGAATAAAAGGTGTAACAAAGTCCTTTGCAGAATCTGTATTTAGTGTTGCTGAGTGTAGCGTAGAAAGACCAGATTTATTAAGCTTTAGAAATAGAGATTTTGAAAAAGAAGCAATTTAATGCCAAAAGAAAGCTATGACATGACACTTTATCAAACTCCTGAAGCAAAACGCAGCTTAAGCACTGTGTTGTTTTAGGATTTATGAAGCACGCTGATAATAAAGCTTAGATAAGGAATTGTTCTGGACTCAAATTGGTGAATATAATTAAAAATTCCCTAAGAAAAAAAACCTTATAAACATCTTACTGGAAGGGATCCGATGTATCTGGACGAGCGTCGTGTGGCGGCCGTTGGTTAAAGGAGGCAGTCGGGGGACGGCGTCTTGAAAGATCTGCTCATCATCTGATTCCACCAGGTCCACCACATCTCCTCTGTCCTCTGCTTGCCTGCAAAAAGGAAAAGTGAACCTCAACTCAGGACATGAGATCTTTTTTTTTTTTTTAACACCCATCATGAGTCTGTTTTGAAATTCCAAAGGAAGTGAAGATTTACTGATTCTTGATTGCAACACAACTTTGAAAATAAACTGTCTGGATGAAAGAAGCTTTGTTGTTGGAGTGAATCCCTGAGCATAAGGATGCCTTTGAGAGGCAAACAACTAACTGTGGTCGGTGGCAACCTACCAAGAAATGCTGGAATTCCTGAGCAAAAGCCATGAAGCACAAAGCAGCCGCAAACAGGTTTAGATGTAAACAAACAAGGCTTCAAATGTTTCCAAACTCTGCTGGAACACGCAAGACTAAATGTGAAATAAAAACAGTAAATTAACAGAACAGAAAGATTTTAATACTCTAAGGATGGATATTTTGAGTCCTTTCTTATTATCTTAAAAACGTTCTTTCTTACACATTTTCTGTTTGTCAGCATATCATTTCTATATTTCTTTTGGTTTGAAATTGAAGAGAAAATGAAAACAAATTAAAAGTGACTCCTGTTTTATTTTAGCTGTAAATTATTCGTATTTTACATTTTCTAAAGATGATTTATATGCCAGATTCTGGTGTAGGGGAGGTAAACTCATTACCATCAGTGTAAAGAAAAAAGAAAGTCA